ACCAGCCAGCAGAGGCGGTGGCAGAGCCGTGTGCCGCTCAGGACTGACCAGCGTAGGTAGGGGGAAAGTGCAGCTGAGCCCCCTGCTGCTCCGGCTGGGCTCATCCTGTCCCGAGCGGCACACAGCTACTCCTCTTCCCACACGCATCGCATCGGCAACATCAAGCTGACGCGGTGCATGTGGGAACCTTGTCCCTTCCCCAGCCCTTCAGCAGCCATTAGGAAGCTTCTTGGGGAGGGATAAAGGGTGGGAATGAAAGTAAACCGTGTTTACTTTCGTTTCCTGTCGCAACACTGCGGGCCACAGAAAATGCCTTGGCGGGCTGCATGGCGGTCCGCGGGCCATGTGTTGGACAAGCCTGACCTAGAGCTAGAAGTAGGAAATGCAGCTTTACATTTGTTCAGATGTGAGACCTGGATGTCCTATAATGTGAACCCATTTTAGTATTTCGTTTCTTTTTTGGCAGCAGAAGTAATTTATCTTTGTTCATATTGGAATTCTAATAATGCCCATTCAGTACACATTGGAAATGGATGCATATAACACTTAAGGTGTGGAAAGACCTAACACTTAGAACATTGTAAATATATTTTAAACTCCAAGTACATCCTAACAAGTGCTCATGAGCAATTTACAGTGCCTCAGACTCATTTTGAGGCACCACAAGTCATACATGGCACACATGCACCTGTTGGCCACACTGCAGATTTGCAGCATGGTGCCAAAATTTGGCACTGAGAGATCCCGGTGGCAAAAAAACAAAACACAACCAAAATGGAAAGGCCACAAAAAGCAGTGTGGTGCATGTGGCAGCAGCATGTGCTGCCAGAAACAGAGCCTGGCCAGCCAGAGCCATGCTAGCCAGCCTCCCAGCAGCTGGATTGGCACCACTTCTGCCCCAGGAGGCCCCCAAAATCCCAGGTAAAGCTGCTGGGGTCAGCATAGGTGCTAGCCCTAGCCTCCCCTACCCCACCCGGGACAATTTGCCCAGCACCAACTGCACATGCAGGGGCGTGCACAGTGGCAAAAAGCAGCAGCACAAATTTCTGCCTCTTCTATTTTTTCCATGGTAACTGCACGCCCTTGCATGTGGGGACATGCCCCAAGAGACTAGGGCCAAGTACAGATATTACACTTTTACTGGTACAAATGATTGGAAACTGGTCTATATCTAAAATAAAAGTTCAGCACACAGACTGGTTTAAAAATGGTGGCACCCAGCTTAAGATTTGTCCTCTCCACCAAAGAGTGAATGTGTGTTCTACTGATCTAAGTTATGTCACTTACAGAAAACCACACAACTTATATCGATTCTGCCTTGGGCTTTTTGAATGTCTGTATGTAGCCTAGGTGTGAATGCTACTTGAAACTGGTTTACACTTTCTGGAACATTTCAAAAACTCACCAGAAAAATCAAGTACTATTTTGAGCCAGTCCTCCTTGAACTGGTTCAATGTTATGGGCAGACACAGGCTGGAAATAGATGTCCTCTATGAAGCACGATTACCTGCGCCACAATATATTGCAGCAGAGCTGATCCACTTTACAGACATCTAACAGATGTTGCCGGATCTGTTGTCCCCCAGGGTTGGTCCCCTGTCCCTCCCAAGGCTTCATGGGCCCAATGTGGGGGGAAAAGGGGCCTGGGTACCCTTCCTCAACTTGGAGCAGGCACCTACATGCAGGGAAACCCCTGCTTGCAGGATACAGGAGAATCCCCCAGCAGGGGATTCCCCTGGCACCTGTCTGCAAAGCACAGACAGGGGAACTCCCCACAGAGGTTTCCTCCTCTGCTTATGTGTTGTTCCGACCCAAGGGCAGCAGCAAGAAAAGCACATCAGGCACCAGCATGCCTATTATACTGCTGTCCCTGGGTCAGGAGTCAGGTGCAAGTGGAGTAGGGGACTCCAGACTCATGCCCCAAGTAGGGGCAGTGCACCTAGGGCCCATTTCCCCCAGAATCCAGCCCCTGACGCCTGAAGGAGTTTCTGTTTGGAGTAGTGGAAGAGTGTGGGCTGCCAGTGGCAGCCCACAGTCTCTTGGCATAATTAGACAGGTGTCAGCTATTTAAGGGAGGCACAAATCATTAGTACCTTTCTGACACTGAAACATTTAAGCACTTGGGGCCAACAAAAGTCTATGATGTCTATTCAATCAGCTCTTGTGCTGTCACAAAATGTTTATGGCAGCACAAAGTCAACAGCTGTTTGCAGCCCCAGTGCATTCTATGCCTGGTGTCTGGTCAGTCCTCCAGGCATCCCAGACTGCACTGCTCTTCACCACCCTGAAACTCATGCATAGCAATGGAGTGGCTCTAAGATACAATGAGAACTTTACTGCCCAAAGATCTGTTGCTTACAGAGACTACAGTTTGCAGGGTGGAGAAGCAGAAAGTCTCTGTGTCAGCTGCACTTCCTTGCAAGGTTTGAAAACCCAGGGAGTTCTTGGGATGGGCCCAGAGCACCCACCCCCTTGGAACAAAAAGTGAGGTCCACACAGTCCCCTGGCACCTCACAAGTCTCCATTCCAACCCCCTGCTCCTATCTGGGTCTTCCTCCCACTCTTGAGGAATCCTGGGGAAATGCTGGGCACTGACCCCTAGAAGGCATGGTGGTCTGAGTACTCTGTCACCCCCTGGTGATGTTTGACAACAACCCAATCCCTAAAAGGTTGGGATTCTACTTAGAACCCATAGAAGTGCATGTGTGGACACTTCTGTCCAGTTACAATTTCCAGTCAGTGACGTTCTTGGAACAGTTAAAGTGTTATGTCTGTTGGCATCCTTCAAATGGTTTAAATGTGATTTAAACCTGAAGTAAGTAGATATGCAAGCCTGTTAAACCAGTTTAAATCAGCCTGGAATGGTTCAAAAGTGTACTTGGAAAATCAAGTACTATTCTGAACCAGTTCATTGTGGACAGGGTCAGTGTTATGCGTGGACACCAAATGTTTTATGACATGGGTCTGGTTAGTCCTCCAGACATCCCCCCCTACCCCCCAGCAACATACACACACACTGAGCTGCAACTAGTTGATATGGTATATAACCAGAATTCTACTCCCATTTTTTTTCCTTGTGTTGGCGCTTCTTATCCATGAGCTCCATTGTACTGTTTGGTGAATAAAAGCTACCTTAACTAACAATTAGCTTTCTCCTCACTCCCTACTCTCCACAGCCCATCATCATGTCTCCCCAGTTCCTAGGAAAAAAAAACCCATGGGTCCCAGCACTTCCTCCCTGCCTCCTTCCCCCCCTTCTCTTCCCTCTCACTCTGAGTCAGGGGATCCTACTGCATACTTCAGCCATTTGCAGGCTGCTAAAATATAATAAACTCATATTTAGGAAACAGAAGACAATATAAGACAAGATAAGATCACCCACCCTTGGGACTCTCAAAGCATGGGTGCAAACATACCTCCACCCCCACAATGAGGTTGGGTGCTCACTTCTATCCTGTGGTATCAAAGCCACAGCACATCATACAATTGTGAACCGGTTCTGAATCAGTGACATAGTAGAATGGTTCAGTTATATCTGTCCACACCCTGTCCTGCTAGAACTGTGAACTGGTTCTCAATTGGTGACATGTTGGAATGGTTCAGTTGTTATGTCTGTCTGCACCCACTGAACATAAAACCATGTACATGAGGCAGAGGCTCTCCATGAAAATTCAAGATATTTTGGTCACATTTTTAATAGTTATTGGTAAAAAAAATAAGAGGACATCCTGAAGATAGTTTCAGAGAATACAAATGTAGTAACAGACAGAGATATTCACACAAATGTGCAACTTGTACAGTCTCAGACAATACAGGGCATGTTTGAGTCAGTGTGAAGGTCTGTAACCAAAGGAACTGAATACAAGAGGATGGAGATTTTTAAAAAGTCTTCCCTAATTTAGACATTTTTTCTTTGTCATGCTTTTCAGATCTACACATTTTCCATGTAATTGAAAACCACATTCACTAATTGAATTATTATTTAATTAGTTAATTAATTATTCTAGCCAGCTTCAGCATTTAGGACATTGACGCTGTGTTATATAATAATTACAGGTAATTAAATTATCTCAAGCTTGTTTTCCTGTCAAAATATGCTGGGTATCAAAAAATGACAACAAACTGTAAATTATTCTGGAAGACAAAGCCTGGCAGCTGAAAGATTTTGCTAGCATTAATTAGACACCAATTATACAATGGAAATAGAGAAACAATAAGCCCTATAATCATTTCTGAAAATGTGCATATATTTGCTAAAAGTCTTACCTCCCAGATTGATAAAGTTTTCTTTTAGCCATTGTGCGGCCTTTAAGCAGTCTTGATCATCATGGAGAATAAAGAGATTGGTAGGAACTTTGCCTGTATATCTTTGCTTATAGCTCTTTGTGACTTCTCTGTTAGTCAAGAGTTTACTGATATCTGCTCCAGTGGGACATGGGACCTGACATAAATAAATATAATGCATGTATAATTTGCAAAGTGTTAAAGAGATACTTTAGATAGAAATGGCATAAACTATGTGATTGTGGAAGAATGGCTAGACACGTAAGTCCAATTCTTTTTGGACAAAGGCTCAGTAATTAACGATCCATTGGTCAGAAAGAAGAGAGACCTCTGCTGGTATATGAATGTTCCCTATTTTCTTTTTCTTCTAGCAGGGCTGTCCAATTGGCAGCCCACAGGCCAGACTCCCACCCAACCACCACTCTACCCATTGCACTTGCAGCAGTGGCCAGGGTTCCCATGCTCCCCGCCACCCCCCGGCATTTGGTTCCTGCCCCCCTTCCCAGGGGTGGGGCAGCCCAGCAGGATAGGGCTGGGCTGACAGTGTTGCACCTGTGGTGGGGGAGGCTGCTGTGCTGTACATGCTGTGTGCTCCACAAAGGAGGGAGCCAACCTGCCCATGCTGTTTGCTGCAGATGAGCTGCCTGCTCAACATGTGTGGCTGGGAGGTGGGTCAGGGTGCTGCATGCAAGGCAGTGGGAAGCAGGCTGCCTCTGGTGCAGAGTGGGCTGCCTATGCAGTGCATGTGGCTGGGATGGCATGGGCATAGGTGGGGAAGAGAACTGGGCTACAAGTGTGGCTGAGTGGTGGGCGGGGGGTAGGGAGGGGAGGGGAAGAGTTCCTTCACAGCGTATGGCCCCTGGATCTTCAGCCCATGCTGAATGTGGATCCTGGATGCCCACCAGAGGTTGGACAGCCCCGCCTTATAGGATCTACAGAGGCATGCAGGCTTTCAGAAGTCCTGCAGGAATGAACAAGGTTTTGACATACATGCACATGCACATACACAATGCATTCTGAAGAACTCATCAGACGTAGCACATACCATACTACCTTGCAGACAAGGGGTAAGTGTAAGTAAAAACTGAAAAAATAAATAAAATCATAATTTCATGGACGCCTTCCCACCACTGCATCATGTGTCCATAAACCCCTTGGGTGCATTGTGTGTCCAAGACCCTCCCATGGCTAAACTGTACACCTATGACCCTCCCACCACACTGCATGCCTGTGACACTCACCCCTGCTACATCAAATGGTTCAGGCTCACCCACAACTCCCCCACACTGCTGCAGTGCCCTGCACCCTGGGGTGGGGGCATGAAGTGGCAGCCAGCGAAGGGAGGGGAAGCTTGGAGACTGGCTGCAATCAGAGGGATGCAGGGATCGGCAACTGGGCAGGAGCTCTGGGGATGCAATTTAACTTCTCACAGGCCACATGCAGCCCAGAGGCTGCCAATTGAACAATCTTGGTTTATTACATTTTTAAAAATCCAATACTGAAAGGTTTTCACCAAAACACACTACATAATCTATTTGTCATCATAACTTTTGTGGAGATTGTCTTCTAAAAAAAGCTACATTTAGGCAATTATAAAAAAAGTGTGTTCAATTTTATGGTAACCAATTTTTTGAATGATCTGCAGTAACCCATACACAAAGCAGCACAGCCAGTTTCTATCAATGTAAGAAAAATAAGTGGTAACATGTTCCATGTGAGCCCCGAAATGGCAACTGAACTGCCCTTGGAGGCAAAAAAAAAAAGGGCCCGATCAAAAATGGCATGGTAGCAAACAGAATATGCATTTTGCATTACCCTGTTCAAGGCAGGTGGAATCTGATGATCCAGAACCAGGCACTGACAAAAACTGGCTACAGGGAAAATTCACAGTTGATCAATATTTATAACTCTTAGTAAGTGACCCTTTTAAGTGATGATATGTAGAAGCTCACTTCTAAATGTATGACAATATTAGCAGCAGATCAGCAAAAAATATGAATAATGAAATAAATGCTTTCACTACGACTGTATAGCAGAAATACCTAAATACATAGATGAAGGATCTCTATAATGATTTCTTTATTGCATAGCTTAAAGTTTTGCAAAAAAATTCCTAATACAAAAAGAACGCTTCTTCTATTTTACAGCAAAACTAAATGTTCTAAAATAGGAGAAAATCTGTCAAGAGACGAATTAAATATTTGTAATGATGTAAAACACCAAACATTGTATTAAAAATGTAACTCGATAATATTACTATTACAGTAACAAATTAAACCATGATTATAATCAGTATTTCTTTTTTGTTCAGTATGATTATATCGCATTGGTCAAGAATTGCCAGTGGAATGTCTTCACTGGCCACCTGGCCCTCTAAAAAATTTGACCTAGCTCCATGAAACACAGGTACATGAATATATTCTGCCACTCTTATTCATAACATGTAACCATTTTCCTCGGCCAGCAGACTTGCTGGCATCAATATGATTACTTGCCAAATAACATGGCCAGCAGGATTTAGCTCTATGGGCAGAGCCAGATCCAAAGAAGGACTTAGGTGCGTTTCCAAGCCTGAAGTTGGGATCCAACCACAAGCCGCAGGTTCAACAGTTACCCAAATATGGAAGTGGCTAAAAATGTTTGTAGATCAAGCCTAAGATTTCCTATGGTGTTCAAAGTCTTAGGGCATCTATACATGTGCTCTGAGGTAGGGAGAGGGGTGCTTTAATTAGAGCAGGTCTGAGAGCTGCTGTAATTAAAGTGCCTGAAACATCATGTGTATTTAGCATCCTGTGCTTCAAAATGGCTGCAGGGGGCTGTAACTAAAGCTCATTCAACGAGCTTTAGTTAAAGTGCCCCCACTGCCACTTTGAAATGAGGGGATGCTGAATACATGTGACACAGAGGCTGCTGAAGCATGCTAATTAGTACACATTGGAGCAGAGTTCCATCATGTGTGTAGGAGCCCTTAGTGCCTAATTCTGCAATCCTTACTCAGGCAAAATTCCCGGAGTATTCAAAGAGCTTCATCCTCAAAGGACTGTTTTAGAGTGACAGGACTGTAGTTGTTACCGCATGGATAAAGACTTGCTGTGAAATAGTCTGCTCCTGCGCGATCCACTAAACATGTTCATCTTTAATCACTGTAAACATCAAACATTCATTTTTCACTATGCATGCAATCTTACCTGATATTGCTGCCCAGTACAGAGAACAAGGTGGTCATATGGCACTTTTTTCCCCTTGGAAACCACTACATGTTTGGCAGCTCGGTCTATGCCAGTCATTTTACCAACCACAACATTAACCCAGGAACAAAGTGACATCAGTGCATAATCTTTATCATTAAAACAGTGGCTGTGAAGAAAGAATATCTATAAGTGACATTTTAGCAGCAGACAGCAGGCATTAATTAGACATCTGGTGAGTTAGTTGAAGTCCCCTAGTGGTTCCAGTCTGTTCTCTTGCTGTGAGCTTACTAGAGTCTATAGTAAGAGAATATTCATTATAAAACACTCAGTTACAAATTGACAACTTTCTGCTAAAACCAAATAATTTCTCACAGCATTGGCTCATACTATAACAGAGTTTATTAGCCAGTCAGAAATGTATATTTTACTGTGCATCTAATTTTCAGTCTGATAAGCTGGTCAGATCTTTGCACCTCTAGAAGAAAATATTTTACTTATCTGCTAATTTTCTCTCTTCAGCTATCTCTACACAAAGCTATTTTGTTAAAAAATTCCTAATTTTGCTACCGAGTATTCAGTCCCACCAGTGGTAGCTATTGTGAGGACACTAATACAGTGAAGTTGCTAATGGTATTTTAACAACCGTGTCACATAGCTGTGCTATAAAAGTGTTTAAAGCTACAAAGACAGCTATGAAGGCTGTTTCCAGAACTGTAAGTAAAAGACAGAGATATCATCATATATGTTTTTTTGCTATCCCCCTCTGGATGACTTCTTCCAAAACAGAAAGGATGAAAAATATTAGAACAATATTGAAACCTTCAACACTCTGTAAGGCCCAACTCAAGGCACACCACTGACAGGAGGGAGGTAAAGGTTATCATACATGTTATCTAAGAGGAAGATTTTAACAGGTAATCCCTTTCTCAACAGTGGTTTCTATAGTAAGAGTGGAAATGTGATAACCCTTATTAAAAAAAAAAAAAAGATAACTGATTAGCAATTCACTTCCAACCAAAAAAAGGGGAGAGGGGGAATTTTGAAAGCAACGAACACATATCAAAGACACTTAAGCTTATTTTTTCTATAAAATTCTGGACAATTTAATCACTTATTCCTATTACCTTTTTGCCTCACACATCTTTGATAGTAAGTAGCCTCAAATAATTCAGTTGTTTTTTTCAGATACTAGTATATTCTTGACTGCTCCCCTTTAAGTGATTTTTTAAAAATGTTATGCAAGGGTTTAATAAAGAGCAATGGCCAAATTATATGGTATATGTTGAAAGTTTTGTTCAAACCTTTTGTATTCTAAGAGATTAGGTAAAATGTTAAAAAATGATTGAGATACTTAGGGCCAGGATGTTAAAAGTAATTAAACACCTCATGGTGCAGACAGAAATGTAAAGCAATATTTAAAAATACCTAAGCAGGTTAAGCAGTCAACTCTCAAGGTATTACCAAACAAATGTTGCTTCTTGCATATTCCTTGAGTCATGACAACTACAACAGTACAATACTACTGTTGATTTCAATGGCAGTCTCTGAATCTGACTTTGAGACGGGACTCTTCCACAAGTACATGGATGAAATAATAAACAAGAAATAGTGAAGAAAAACACACCTTACAAAACACCAATTACCTGGACATTGAAAATTCCTATAATAAAAAAAAAGCATACGAAGGGCAGGCTGGGATTTTCAAAAGCACCTTTGTGCTTTGGAGCACATATTCCACTGACAGTCAGAGACCTGTGCTTTTAATTTAGGTGATTCTGAAAAATCCTAGCCAGGTTTCATTCTCAAGTATTAATTAATTATATTATTTATACTTGTTATTAATCTATTTTCATATGTTCATGACTAGCTATGATTAGATAGTTATAAATGACAGTTTTCTAGCAAGCCAAAGTTCAATGTCCAACTAAGTCTAACAGTCTAATGTGGTTAAGGCTCAGTGTCAGCATTACCTCCAGCTGCCTTTGGCTCCGAGATGGAATGACCAGGTACATACCCACAGCTGGGTCAATGGGAGGTGTGGGGCAGGGATAATTCACAAATCCAAAGCAATGTTTTAACTTGCATCTCTAAAATTCATAGCAACAGACCCTAACCACTCTGCCACTGCACCCCCGCCCCCCTCTAAAGCTTTCTTCAAAGAGATATTTTGTAACTGCCACTGAAAATACTGATTTACACTTGCCTTCCTTTTGAAACTATGTTGATAAATAAAAAACCTTTATCCAGTTACATTAACTCAGGTCACTTTCTGACAGGGAAAAAAAGCAGGGACTCTTGAAGCAGCTGAGGTAGTTTTAAATTAGTGCACATCACAATATTTTCATACATTTGGTTTAAATGAGGCTTCTTGTTCAAGGTTCAGTGAGCAGACACTGAACTGTTATGTCATTTAAATAGATGGCCCCTCCAGGGCATGGCTACATACTGGGAGCCAAAGAAACCGTGGAAACAAATGGAGAGTCACAAAAGTTTTGCATATACTATAAAAAATGATAATAGATTTGTTCTCTACATATTCAAATTGAGGCTTACACTTTTTAGTTCAGTCTAATTCTTAGTACAGTGCCTACTGCTATGGCATCCTGGTTCATTAGAAGGGTTTTTGGTTACTATGGTAAGACAAATTAATAGTTAATCATCATAATTTTCAATGAGAAATAAATATCGTGAATCCAGAATTTTTATTTAGATATTGGTCCTGAGAAAACCACAAAAAGGGTCATTTTCACTTACGATGTCCCTGTGAATGTGAAAGCAAGAAAAAAGGAGATTGTGTCCAAAAACATTTGCAGAGAGCAAAATAAATTATACTTGAAGTCACCTTTTGCACATGCAGTGACCTTCCATAACTTTGCTGAGAACTATACATTTCTCTGAAACCATGAATAAGAACTACCACTTTGCCAGGAACTGGATTCAGACAGTGGAACTTATTCCAGCAAGAAGTATACGTGATCAATAACATCACTGTGTTCAGAACTCCATGCAAAATTCACCTCTTTGACTTGGCTCTCCACAAACAATTTTGATGTCTACAGTCATGTGAAGCTATAAGCAGATAATTTAGAAGTGTGCTTGTTATTCCAAATCCAGGCTGAATTTCAAATTGTAATTTTTTTGAGTACCTTGCTTGCTTGCTTAAAAGCTTTCTTTCTTTCTTTCCTTCTTCTTTATTTCCTTCCTTCCTTCCTCTCTTTTTCTCTCCCTCCTTCTTTCTCCTATTTCTTTCTTTTTCTGACTCATCCTTTCAGTTTACAATGCTGATGCTTGAAAATTTAGTTTCTATGAATATTTTTAACTGTGGGCCCTTTCCACATCTATCACTTTGACCTGAACAAACATGCTCCCTTTCACAGTCTGTCCACTTGGACGCTATTGGAGATGGGACACAAGAACAGGAGCACTTGTCTGGCAATTCCTATGTTGCAGTCAACTCATCATACTGAATATACAACATCACAGCATCTTTTGATCTCACAAGGGATCATGGTCTTGAGAGAAAATAAATGTTAAAAGGGAAAATTTTATTCAAACATACCTTTTAAATCAGCAATTGTAACAAGAGGAGGGCAGCACACTGCTCATAAAGTAAATCATCTGTTTAATTATTCTATCAAGTTAGACTAAGTTTGAAATTCTCTACAAGTTGAGCTCAGTTCTCTTGCATACTTAGAAAAAATGGCTGGAATATTTTTAAAATAAAAAGTTTCATTTTTAATTTTATAATTTTATCCAGATTTTTAGTCCCTCGTAATGACTTCCCTTTCTCTAAGTAAGCCCACAATTACTCACAACAGAGCAAAATTCTGCATCAGTTTGAGACACTTGGCTTTGATAGCCTTTCTTGTGAAGCAGAAACTTCATAAGAAAGTAACTTGTCCATTGCTGCCTTCATACTAAGTCAAATCTTGATCTTAGTAAAGTCAATGGCAAAATTCCCATTGAGTTCAGTGCCGAGGAACTCACTATATATCTTACGGTTAGTTCTGCGAACTTACTAAATGCACAATCTTACATGTCTTGGCATGCCTCTCATGAATGTATAAAATAACAACTAAATGGGAGATCTCCTTTTTGGAAGAAACACAAACTATTGCCTTTTTAGAAATCAAAGAAAGCAGTGAATCTAGTGATATTGGTAGTATTACAATGTGCTGCAGTGCTGACTATGAGACTCTAATAATACCTAACAACATCTGTCTAGTCAATAATACACAAATATTTAGGTTCAACTTATTTCAGAGATGAATACCAGCTGCAATGGGAACAGCTACAGCTACCTCTTTGCCAGCATCTTTTAGAGGCTGATCTGAAAAATAATATTCTAGATGAGGGATGCTCAATCCCTGGCTTGTGGGCCAGATCCAGCCTCTGGCATTGTGTCATTCAGCCCACAGGGCATGCCGCAGGTCCAAAACTTTGGTAGCAGGGGAATAGTGGCATTGCTCCCCTGCTGCCAAACTACTGGACCTGTGAGGAGACCTGGGCGATACGGGGCCCAATCTCAGTATGCAGAGCTTGATCCTGGCACATGGGACTAGTGTGGGGCCCAATCCCAATGAGCAGGGGCCAGCCGAGGCCATGCAGGACCAACAGCTTGAGCACTAATGTTCTAGACTCAGTACAGGCTACTTGATACATCTATGTGTATATTACATAGAACTGTGCTTTGAAGTCACAAAACCATTCACAAATTTTATATTGTCTAAGCAAAAATATTTAGAAATCAAACCTGTTAATTAAAAATCTTCTGTACTTCAAGTCTGGTAGATTTTTTCCTGGAAGCCCATGAGTTGAAATCAAGGTCAGATTGTTAAACTTCAGGTGTGGACTAAAGAAAGAAAATTAAAATGCAATATGGAAATCAGCATCAACTTATTATAATTCAGTTTGGTATCACAGTAACTTGATTTTGTTTGAATATACTGTTTAATCAAGCTTTAAGTACAACTGGGTTTCCCAATCCATTCCCGAAGAACTGAAGTCCCACTCTGATGAGCACTGGCTGAATACATGTATCTAGTATTTTCATTAATAATTTGCTCCTACCAACTACCATCCGATAACATGCTACAAGAGTACTCCCAGCCCCACTGATGGGATGGAAGAAATAAAGATATGCCTTTGCCAGGGCTTCTGGTCATTCTGTTTCCAAAGGAAGAAAGCTGACCACTGAAGTATCAGGGGCTTGAGAGAACCTTGTAGCTACTGTTAATCCCGTCACATCTTGCAAGAGACCCACTGGAACCAAGAAGATATGTCAAGGGAACAGCAGAGTTTTCAATACCATGTCCAGCATGGTTCCAGAAAGTAATTAATTTAAATGGACCAGTATCTAGGTACCAAGGATTCTGCCATTTTCTCAATAGCATGTGTTCTTGGCTACATAAAAGGGAGAATTCAACCCACTGTGGTTTGATTAACAAAGAGGGCTATGTAATACATTAAACTAAACTAGATCTGACATTTAAAAAAAAATAAATATTATGAATGATTAAGCCTTATAATCTTCAAGGCTTTGTGTAACTTCGGTCCAGATAGGTACAAGAGCTAGCAAGGAAACTGCATGCTTTTTATCTACTAATGTTAATTTGTTATTCATACATTTTAAAAAATATATTCAAACAAAGTTAAAGGTCAAACTTAAACCTAGGAATTTCAAGGTTATGGCTGCCATTCGATACATGCATATTAATAGTTTAATTCTGGATTATGGATCATCTACTGTAAATCTCCATGCACACTCAGGGCACAATGTAATAAATAATCTTAATGTGCATATATTTAGACAGATTATGGGTCTGATTCTCATTTACACAAACGCAACTTTACATAGCACTTCTTAAAGTGAGTGTAAATAGAATTTACTCTCACTTTAAGATCCCTTTACACGAGCAGAATGATGTACAGTGGCCTTGGTATGAACAGGCCCATCTTCATGTTAAAACATACCATATATAATCTGAGCTCATTTTCAGCTGTTACTTTGGCAGTGGTGTCAATAAATATAATTAACTAAAGGGGATGGATACCTCACAGTTACTTTATATATGATTACCAGGAAAACACCCGTAATAGCATACCATAAACACAAATCTTTCCAGGAAGAACTATGTCCTGCTTCCTAGGTCACTTTCCTTTTGATAGGAAGCATTTTAGAGCACATATTATGTCTTCCTATATGCTGTACAGGGCCAAACCCAATGAATGCTCCAAACTTAGGTGTGGCTGTAATATACATTTTAAATCTCATTAAAAACAATAACTATGTTTAAGAAAAACCCTTAAGGATACCAAGTCAAGAACTCAAATGTTAAGAAATATCAGATGTCACTCTGTCTATGCAAATGAGAAGCATACAATTAGTGACCAACTGAGAAATCTAGTTGAAATGACTTGCCTAGGCACCAAACCACGAGACCATCTTTTCTTTCCCTGCAATACTGAACTCATTCACTACATACCTTTAAACTACTGCCACATACATAGAGGTCATACTTATTACACACACCTGGGATTCACTTCCAGAACATTACACTTCTTACACATGCAGTGAGGCAAGGGTTTTGTAAAAAAATTACCAAGTGGTCATGTTATTAAAGGTTGTTTTATAATATGGACGCACAAGACATTGTTTCCTAACTTCTTCGTGTTAGAAACTTAAGCTAAAACAACCTGAAACATTGCACTTCTCAAGAAAAAGGGAAAAAAATCCCTTTGTTATCAGCAAGTTTTATTCCTTCAGATCTAGAGCATGGGCAGGCAATTATTTCAGGCAGAGGCCTGCTTACAGAGTTTTGGCAAGCTGTCGAAAGCCGCATGGATAGCTCCTTCCCTTGACAGGTGTCTGGCCTCCCTAATCGTCATCTCCCCAGAATCTGCCCCTTTCTATCCCCAGCTCCTGCCCTACTTCCACCATACCACTTAACCTCCCCATCACAGCTTGGCTCCTGACCCCCTTTTTTCTGCTTTTATCTTCTCCCCACATCTGTGCCTGTGAACCTCTTGACATCTTCTCAGATGCTCTCTCAGCTTTCAGCCAGCACTTCCAACTCCTGGCCCCTGATAAATCCTTCCTTTTTGTTCCTTCCTGTCTGCTTTTCTCCCAGACTGGTTCCAGTACAGTTTCTCCTCATTCTTCACCTTTCTGCCATCTTTCTCCTTGTTGCCTGAGTGCTGGGAGTGAGGGTAGATCTTGAGCAAACAGAAGAGACATTCTTACTGATCTCATGTGTACAATGAGATTTTTCAAAGACTCATGATTTGAGACAGTTTGGGTGTTTTTTCACAGGAACAGCATGAAAGCGCTAGAGCTTTAAAAAAATTAATGTCTAAAACATGTTTACATAATACATATAACTCCCTAATCTTGTTCTAGGAAAGTGATGGACTATTTCTGTGGAAACTTTCCAGAAAAGTTCAGCCCTAGGCAAACATCTGGCAGAGAAAAAGTTCACATTGAACAGTTAGTCTGACAAAGATAAAAGCAAAATGAAACCTGATTCCTATAGTGGGAAGTGTTGAGCAATCCTAACTGTCGACACTGTTATCAGTCCCACCTCTAATAAGAATATTTGTACATGGAAAATACTTACAAATAGTAGTTGACATATTCACACACTTTTAAAACTTCATATTCTTTGACATTTTAATTCTTTTTTTAAATACAAAGGTGGAAATTGTAGAGGGGTGACCCTTACTTCAATATCAGATAACTGGTTGAAAGGTTAATTATACAACACAATGAAGAACAGGATATGATGGGGGTAAAGCAGCTAAGATTTTGCAAGGAAACTTTTGCCTCTTGAATCTTGAATACTTTGAGCTTTCTGCTACAATCAGCAAAAAGCTGATAACTAAGAATGATCTGAAGTTATTTTAGTTGAGGTTTTGACTAGGGGTGGGTGTGCAAAGTGGGCCTTATTTGATTCGGATTCGACCCAAATCAGGGACAGTGATTCAGTTCGTTGATTTGGATCACTGTCCCTGATTCAATTTGGCTGAATCTGAAGATTTGATGCTGATTCAGAGAATCAACAATTCAGACACAGACTCAGCTTTAAAAGTTTCCTCTACATACCTTGAGGTAACAGGCATGGCTTGTGAATGCTGTGATGCTGGGGCGCATGAAGTGCCCCACAGGAGTGCAGGGGGGTCCCTCTACATGCTTGGCAGTGAACTCGGAAGTGGACTGGAAGTACTTCCAGGTCACTTACGGGTCTGCCAGGGAGCGCACGGGGGACCCCCCTGTGCTCTCCCTGGCTCGGTGCTTGGCCGCATGGGGACCTCAGGTCCCTCCCCCCCCGCAGACCCAGAAGGCATCAGTCGCTGAGCCAGGGAGGGCACAGGGGGGCAGGGGGAGCCCTACGCCCTCCCCGGCAGACCCAGAAGTGGACCGGAAGTGCTTCTGGTCCACTTATGGGTCAGCTGCCAAGCACGCAGGGGAGCCCCACCTTGCTTCTGTGGGACGCTCCATCCACCCCAGCACTCATGAGCCCCTGCTACCAGGAGGTATGTAGAAAAAACATTAGCTGCAAAGTAAACCATCACCATCTACATATGCAATACTATTAGGCCACGATAAACTAATTAACACTGCCATAAGATAGTACTGTCCCAGATAATTAACTGCAATTAAACATACGTGTAAAAGCTGACCATGGGCATAAACTGTACCTGATCAGCCCAACCAGCAGGCGGGCCAGACTTCTGCCCGCCACCTAGTCATATGGTTCCACACTTTCAGCACCCTTGTGCCCCACCCAGCCCTTCCGCCACCCAATGCCACCACTCAGAGCCTGGGACTGACCCCCTGTGCCTTCAGCCCTGTTATAAACTGCTCTGCCCCAGCTCAAATTGCTGCTGTCCCAGGTGCATGTGTAGATGCTGTGCCCAGGAGTAGTTTACTCCAGCTCAAACTTATTTGGAGTTTGTTGCTTTGAATTAACTAAGTGTAGATGCACCACTGATCTCAAAAAGGAGGTGAACAGTAAAGTGTCAAATTTAGCAGAAGACTAAAAAACATTTAAGGTAGCCAACACAAGTCACAGCAAATAGGAACTTCCCAGGGTTACATCAAAGTTAAATGAAATGGCAGCAGTATAGCATATTAAATTCAGTATTAACAAATATAATGCAATGAACCCTGGAAGAGGGGGCATGCAATCTCCATTCACCTTATTGGATTATAATTTCACAATTCCATAGTTACTCAAAAAAATCCTTGAGTGGCAGAGTGGTTAAGATGACTTGCCATGGCTCTGAAGGCTTGAGTTCAAGCCCTAGACTCATACCTTCACTATGCCTTCAGATGACCTGGAGTCAAAGTCAGCTGCACACTGTTAGACACATCACTCTGACTCTAGAAACTGGTATGCCTTTACCACATTAGCCTCTTAGCCAGTATTCTTGGGAGGACTTTTACCCTTGGCTTTGATCACAGGGAGGCATTACATTAAAAATGCAACAGTTTAAAAAAAATATGAAAAGACTTTTTACATAACACAGAACCACGTTACTCATTACACTTAGATATGCAGCACCACAGAATTAGAAATGTATTAGACATATTTATGGATAATTAAATTGTCTTTTGTTAGAGACAGAGTTTGTTTTTAAAAACATGTCAGCTTCTGTGCTGCCGTGTGCATACAGGCATATGTACCAAAATAAAAGAGGTGTAAAGTGGTTTAAATGCAACCAGATATACACTTGTGCAAATGATTGTTGCTCTGCATCTTAAGTAGAGAAACCTGCTCAATATTTGTTAGCAGGGATATAAAGCCTCATCTTGCTCGTATCAGCCAGAAGCTAAGTGAAAGGATCTAAAGA